TGAGTTAAACGCTGTTGAGTTTGCATGCGAGGATGAAAAGTTAGAAGTTTTTTTTAAAAGCCTCCCGTTGCTTGAGGAATTGAGTTTGATACACTGCTTGATAGATGAACATGATGTTGTTAGTATTTCATGTCCGAACCTCAAGAACCTGAGAATTGTTAACCAGAAAATGGCACGATTTGAGCAATGGGACGGAGAAGAAGAGGAACTTGAGTCCATGTGTTCAGAGGTTCGGATTTGTTGCCCAAAACTGGTGTTTTTGGAGCTTATAGGTCGTATAGCTTTGAATTTTTTCTTTGAAAGTCTAGATTACTTGAAGAAAGCTATGATTCATGCCGAAAGTATAAAACTCGAAGGATTATCGTTGTCTAGAATTTCTCATGTGGAATCTTTGTCGCTTAACCTTTACATCGTTCTACGGGTAGATTTTTACTCTATTTATGCTTAACTTTTCATTCATTTCGGTCAAAATGTTTCCTTTTTTTTGTTATTGTAGTGCATCTGTTGAAATCTTTGTCTTTAGTGATTTAATTACATGTTGGGATACAATACAAAAAACAAAGATCCATACTAAAACACACCTCAGTTACTTGTATGAAAAAGTCTCTTTATCCAACCTTAACGGTTGTGTAATGCTTGCCAAATGTTAAAATTCTTATATCAAGTGAAAATGGCAAAAAGTTTAGCACCTACATGCCTATATATTGGTTTTCATTAAATCTTTATCATTTGATCACCTACATGTTTATTTATTGCCATGAGTAGTAACCTCCAAACCCTTACTTGCTGTCTTTATGGTGTAGTGCCTGTCACAAGTAGATGTCTGGACATCTCTACATAATCTCAAGACTTTGGAGCTAACAATTGATGACTATGCCCCAGTTGCATTGACAAATGAGATGGTATTTTCTTTAGTGATTTTTTTTTTTACCTTGAAACTATTACATTGCAAGCTTTAACTTATGATTTTTTTGATGATCTTTCTAGCAAATATTTGAGCGGGAATACTGGAATCTAGAAAAAGCTGCAACAATGAAAATTTTGGCTCGTCAGCTGAGAAAGGTGGAGTTTGTTGAATTCGATGGACTAGAGTGGGAACTAAATGTAGCGCGATGCTTACTTGAGCATGGGAATGCACTGGAGGAAATGGTTTTCATTTGGGATGACAAAGACATGTACATACATGAGAAGTCGATGGAGGCTATGAAGAAAGTTTCAGATTTTCACAAGGCTTCCTCAACTGTCAAACTGAGCAACTCTCCCAAGTCTTCCTGTTAAACATGTTAAACTGTAAGCAGTAACTAGATTTCATTTTGTCTCATGTAGATGCCTTTTGGATTTGGAGATTTGTGGTACCCCACTTCATGTTGTCTCATTTTCAATTATTCTTAGAAAAATATATGTGTTCTTTTCTGTAATTAAATGTAGTTTTTAGTAACTAAGACTATAACTCTGTCAATTTAAACTAATATCTGTCAAACAATATACCTAAACGACGCAGTTTAATGACAAATAAACCCAAATGAACCTAAACTTTTGGCTATCTGGTTTATAGAAAAGGTTTGTTTTTTTACTTGAATTGTTAGGACAATTGTGTTATGGAGATGTATTAAATCTTGGGTTAAATGTACACAATAGCAACGTACTTTATATCAGTTTTTATTATATGTAGTTTAGTTTCTTTGTAAATAGAAATATGTTTTTTCATTAATTATAGTCAATATAATTTTGGTCATTTTGAACTATATGTTGAACATATCCTTTGTTATTTTAGGAAATTAAGATGTGTAAAAATGAATGGGAATAAAATGTACTTCCTCAAATAGACGGGTAGTGGTGGTGCATTTGTGCCGGAATAGGCGAAGTGTATGGAGGGAGAATGGGAGTGTGTGAGGTGGTGGAACCCACTAATATGTAAATCATATTAATTCAATTTTTTTTTAATTTATAAATAATAAACAACGATTAAAAAACTGAAAATAAAAAGATAAAGAGAAATATAGTCATTTCATGTCTAAGAATATGGCCGAAACGTGCAACATTTGATAATATAAGAGACGGTCCGCGTTAATTTTTTAAAATAGAAACTAAGCACTTATTTTGACATTTGCATATCATGTAATTTTCTCCATATTTTATATAAAAGAAAAAAAGAAAGTATATTTTGTCATATTTTGACACTCTCATATCACTGTTTAAATAACCGCTTGTCTTATAGATTAACAAATACAAAATCTAAATGTATTTCTCACCAAGTTAAGAGATGATGACTTCACTAGTAAAATACCAAAATGGTATAGTTACGATGTCATCATAAACCAGCCAACTATAGAGTTATATTAAAACGATGACTATTGTGTAATAAGGATACCCAAACTAATGAAAGAAATAGAAGGATGTTAGATGGGAGGGGCAAGAAAGTATTATATGGGGTTGTTAGATGTTGAAAAAGCAAATTAGAAGATGAAAAATGAGCTGCCATAACTATAGTTACATGTAAGTTTTCAAAGTGACTACAGAGTCATGGAAAAAAGTGGATATAACACATTTTTTTGGAGAATAGATCGAGGCTTTCGCTTGATTATAAAACCAGTAAAGACAAAGGTGATGGTACATTGGTTAATGTGACTTCATATTTTGTAAACTTAAACCTAAACCGATTGTATTTGCATTTTCTTATTGCGAGATCTAAATGTTATAATTAGCTTAAAAATATCCACATGGACGACATGTGGAAGCCAGGTGACTAAAATAAGTGAACAAATTCTGTGACACTGGGTTCCAAATGAGATTAAAAAAAAACTATTTTACCATATTGATGTCTCATTCAATTGTGTAATATAAAACCAAAAAAGAGTTTAATACCCTATTGAGTATAATTAGAAGATAAATTACTTAATTACCTCATCAAAAGCAAATTAAAAGTATTATTTGTTGTCATTTGATACATTAACCTTATTATGATATACACTAAATTTTATTATTTGTGGAAAAAGAAATTTGTTATAACTATCAACGAGGATGTGATCATCTATGATTATGTTGTCTTTTCTTTATATACCCTATCAGGCTGAATTATGCACTAACTAGATTTCATTAATGTCTCATGTGGATGCCTTTTGGATTTGGAGTTTTGTGGTACCCTGCTTCATGTTGTATCATTTTCAATTATTACTAGAAAATATGTCTTCTTTTCTGTAATTAAATGTAGTTTTTAGTAACTGAGACTATAACTCTCTCAATATAAACTAATAACTGTTAAATGATATACCTAAACGACGCAATTTAATGACAAATAAACCCAAATGAACCTAAATTTTTGGTTTTAAAAAAAATCCAAACTGTCGGTTTATGGAAAAGGTTTGTATTTTACTCGGATAGTTAGGACAACTGTTATGGAGATGTATTAAATTTTGGGTTAAATGCACACAATAGCAACGTACTTTAGACCAGTTTTTATTTTATATAGTATAGTTTCTATGTAAAATAGAAATATGTTTTTTTCATTATAGGCAATATACTTTTGTGATTTCGAATGATATGTTGAACATATCACAAGTTTTGTTGATATAGGATATCAATGTGATTGGTCATTATAAATATGCACGACAACGTAATATATTAATATAATAAAACTTTGTTATCATCGTACAACGAGTGGGATGGAAAACGGGCAACAAGCTGCACTGCTAAGCCTTTTTGTATGCTCAGTCAATTCTTTTGAAGACTACATCCATAGATCTAGAGGATATAACATTGTTATGTATGATCCGTTGTACTTTATTAAGAAGTTTCGCATCTGGCACGAGGAAACCAAACGTATCAAATGCAAATGGTCATCCTTTATTAGAAGGGGGAAACAAATGAAAAAAAAGGTCATAAAATGAATGACAAGTTACAAGAACTAAAGGAATGGTACGTATTCCTTATGTAATGAATCATTCTTTTTCCTTTATCTAAATAGACATCAAGGTTTTGCGTTTATCTTTGTTACAACCTTGTGTCTTGGTTTTCCAAACGTCAACACATTGTTTCTTAGTCTAGTGCCAAAGCCCAGTATAAGGAGTTATCATGTTCCTTAACTCGTACTACAATTATTTTTTGTGACAATGTAAGTGTCATGTACTTAACTTCTAATTTAATTCTTTGCACCAAAAAATCAAACATGTAGAAATAGATTTACATTTTGTTAGGAAATGTCTTTTGTCATGTTTGCGTTTTGTATGTTTTATCTACTCATCAATTTGCCGATATATTTACAAAGCATCTTCCTACACAATTATTTCTTGATTTTTTGAACAATGTAAGCGTATGTGAACCTCGGCTCACTGAGAGTATAGGGTCCTATGTGTAAATATTATTTATTGGTTGTACTGGTTATCAATGGACTAACAACTATTTTCACAATTCAACAATCTTTACAAATGTAGAGTAGAAACAGATATACTACATTATAAATTCTTTCATATTCCATAGATACACATAATTTATTATTCCAATATAACTTGAAATGTTTCAGGTACATCCATACATAAGGCAAAAAGATTATTAAGATATTCAAAAACCATTAAAAAAAAGGTGAACCTTTCATTACAGGTTCGAGGAGGAAGAGACCGACTATAGTTTTATATGTTTTATAAAGGGTTAATGATAGAAACGCCCTTAGCTTTTCCGAATTTTTTTGAGAAGGCCACAAAAAATATTTGTTGTTACCCAACCTCACAAGAGGGGTTGCATATTGAAGTGAGATCGATCACAAATCAAAATCAAAGGCAGAGAGATTGAGATATGAAATATCATTTACACCTACTTTTGAACAAATATGATTTCAGCTTTTGGTGATGCTCGACGAAGCCTCGGCAACTCGATTGAAAAACTTGATCTTCCATCTGTTATGTTCCCACTTGGGGAGATGCTCATAGTCTCAAGAACCGGTGAACTCCCAAGCAGAAACTTTATGAATCCCATCTCGTGTGGAACACCAGATATACAAGTCATCTTTACCATCTTAAGCCGTTCAAATATGTAGTCAAAGGGGCATTCCATCTCCCAGAAATCCAAACTGGAAGCTTCTGTTAGAGATGATGAACACGGTGGATCCAAAATTTAAAAAAAAAAAAAAAAAAAAAAATCAGAACATTGATGCTTAGGTTCAAATGGGTTACTTTTCATCTTCAAGATTAATATAAGCTTCTCTAAGTTATAAATTAAACCTTCATAAGTAAATAAAAATTCTAAATTAATACTGCCATTCAAGAACGGCAAGAAGTTGTAACAGAAACGGGCTACATCGATCTAGTGCCCATCTTTAGTAAAGTACTTTTATATTAAAGTATTAGGAGCAATAAGCTTATAATAAGTATTATCTATTTCATTGCTTTGAATTGTAATAAATTGTAACTGTTAACTTCCTTTTTATGAGTAAAAATTCAGCTTTGCCTACAGCCCATGTTTCCTCTATCTTCCATACCAGAAAACACCTTTTTCTCACTGATTTGAGTACTAAAACACAATAGCATACAGCTATTTGGATCCTTTTATTTCCAACAGTAAGCATTTCAACACAACTAGGGCACCTTCGATCATATGGACCCACTGACCCGTTTCAGTTTTAGCTAATTTTTTATTTTACTCATTTAATAAAACATAATCAGATCAACCCATTTAAAATGGAAAATGACCAAAAATTTCCGCCTATCTCAGGAATTTGAAATGCACAAGACATCAAAGAATGTGATACAAAAAAATAACAGTTGATATGAGAATATATACCTTTTCAATTATCAAATGAAGAGACTCCAGATTCGGAGAAAGGGTGAGAATTCGGATTAGTACATCCATGTTGAAGGCATCAGCTATTGTGGTTATCTCCAAAGTCTTGAGATTAGGTAGAGATTTAGGGAGATCTTCTAGATTAATGCACTACAATAATGACAGCAAGTAAGTGTTTGGACTTTGGATTGATCTCTTATATCAATAAATAGGCATGTACGTACTTAACCGATAAAAAGCCAAATCGAAATTGTAACATATGAGAATAAGCATCTACCTTATGGTCGTAGAAAAGGCTAGTCGACAAAAGTTCCACATTGGAAATTTCATAAAACAAAGCACATACTATGGTGTCCATCGATTCAGATGGTAATTCTCTCTGCAGCTTAAACTAGGGTGAATTTCAGCTTTCTTCAAAGAAACTAGATTTTCAAAGAGAAAATTATAAGCTACATGGCCTGAAAGCTCCAAAAACACCAGTTTTGGACAAAAAATCTCTAGGTTATCACACATGTCGATGTCATCCCCCAACTCTTCGCAATCAAGTACTTTCCGGTTATCAATTCTCAGATTCTTTAGCTTTGGACATGAAATACAAAAAACTGTAATGGTGGATGTCATGCAGTTTACCAAACTCAGGTCTTCAAGCAATGGGCAGCTGCTTTTGAGAAAATCTTTTACCAAATCATCGTCTATTAAGATACAAGTTTTCAACTCAAGAACCCTAATTGTCAGAAACCCTGAATAATTACGCAACAAAAATAATCCTCCGAACAAACACAACCTTAATACCTCCAATGAACTGCAATTCACAAGACAATGGGGCACATCAGTTATTTTACTTTCCTCCGTCGGGTGAAACATCAAGTCAAGTAGTTTGACGTTTCTAGTGATGGCAGCATTAATCCACCGCCTTACTGTTGACATACTGAAGTAATTCCCACAACATAACCGAAAACTATCCAAATCTATGGATTTGTTTGCCAAAACACCACACACAAACTCTTCAAATTTGTTGTTTCTGAATTCTTTAAAGGGCATCAATCCTCGGGAATAATCTATGTCTATAGAGGGAATTGAAGTCCACAGGTACCTCCATCGAGTCGACAAAATGCTGGATCGGATTACTTCTTCGGTAGTTGGAAGACGTGAAAGAATCGAGTGAAGAATAGGATCCGGCAAGGCACTGATCATATCCACCATATCCATACTTTTTGATGCCTTTCCTAACTTGGATTTCTTCATCCCTGTGCAATTACTCTGGTGATCATGTTAATAATACAATTATTAGAGAACCAAAGAGATTGCCAAATGTAGTGTCTCTATATACAAGTGAATGATTCAGGTGCATAAAGACGCCAAATCAAAACTCGCACATATTAGAAAAGATCTTCACAAATGTACAACACAAACAACATAATATACGTCAAATGCGCATCATATATTGTTCAAACAGAACTTGGAATGATTCATGAACATAGACAACAAAAAGATTAAAAAAAAAAAATTAATAATTATAACGAACCTTTCTTTCGTAATGATGATAGTGATATCGTTAATTAATGTGGAAGTGAAGTAATCGGTATCGGATGGGATGATGACTGATGATATAGCGTTAGCGTCACATGTGACCATATGGCTGGCTGATAAGGAAGGAGATCGGCGATTCGCTCCTAGCGATCAACTTGGATGAAAAGCTAGAGCCACACTCGGAATTTATTTATAATCAGGGATCGATAAAAAATTGAAGATCATGTGTAATTCTCTGTGTGTTTCATTCAACAGATTATAAGGGTATTATAAATACAGGGTCCAACACCCACGTTTAGCTAAACTATCTCCACAATACAAGGCAGTATATTAACAGACTAATAAGAAGACTATGAGGTAAAATCCAAGGTACACCTTTCAATCCCTCTGTCCACATCAGCTTTTCTCTCCTTCCCAAAGGCCAAAATCATCCCACAACCATGGAAATGGTCATTTTTCTACCCTACACCTTTGGGAGTACAAATTAGATGATAATAATAATATAGGGTCTAAAGTGTAAATGTGTCTACTATGTATAGTTATATACATATCATGTATACGCATCTGAATAATGATATACGATATCTTTTACCAAGTTTATCTTGGTATCAGAGCTCCCAAATACAACCCTAATTCTGCGGCAGCCTAGGAGTCAAACAAAGACTTCTTTTTTTTTTTAAGACCTCGCTGACTGATCAGTAGACAGAAGATGACATGAACAGTGGGCGCATGAACAGTACATTCGGAACAGTAACCGCGTGAACAGTGCATTCGTGAACAGTGTTTTTTTTTTTTTGGTCCCTGCTTCTGCCAATCGCTTCTTTCTCCATGGAACCACTCAAAGCTTTCTCTACAACAGAAAAGACTGCACATAACTCTCACAAATTTGGTTTTACATTATCACCAACCAACTATGGTTACTGGAAAACCATGATCCAACCTTTCTTGACCACAAATAATATGTTCGGGTATGTTGATGGCACCATTCTATGTCCACAAGCAACTACAATTTCTGAGAAAGAAACTTCTTCTGCTGTTGCAAACCCTAGCTATGCAATCTGGATAGCTAACGATGCTCATGTACGTATGCTTTTACTATCTACAATTTCTGAATCTTCCTTCCAGCATGTACAGGGGACTACCTCCCGTGAACTTTGGCTGTCCCTTGAACGAGCCTATGCACCACATACATCTTCCAGGGAGTATACCCTCAAAACCCAACTTCTCAAACTGGAGATGAAAGGTGATGAGACCTCCTCTGCCACCTAAACAGAGCTCAAGGATATGTCGATGCCTTAGCTAATATTGGTGAACCTATGAAAGAAAAAGACCTAGTTATGCTTGTGATCTCTGGTCTTAGGGAAGAATACAATGGTTTAAAATCAACCATCCTTGCTCGCCAAATTCCCATAGCCTTCTCCGAATTGAATGGTCTTCTCTCAGATCACGACTACATGATACGTAAATCAGTGCCTGAAATCTCACATGTCCAAGCTTTAACGACTGCTACTACAAGCCATAACACCACCACTGCACCCTCCTCAACAGCCATCACAAATCAGTTGCAAAACCTACAACATTTGTTATCACAACTTGGTCTACAACTTCAGCCAACAAAGACTTCATCTCCTCAAGCCTTTTACACAAACAGGGCTGGAAACAATCGTGGTCGAGGGCAATTCAATCGACGTGGACGAGGAAACTACAACCGTACCCAAGGAGATTTCAACAACACGAACCAGGGTGGAGGTAACCGTGGTCAGTTTTCTTGGGCTTCTAATCAAAACACTGTTTATGGTACATGTAACATGTGTGGAATAGGACATGTTCCTTCTCAATGTCCAAACCGTGACCCCGCTACTTTTCGAAGACCACCACCATCGGCTAACTATGCAGATCACCGCTCACAAGCATCCACCTCCTGGCTAACTGACACAGGATCCAGTCACCATGTCACACATGATCTGCATGGCCTAGACAGAACTGAGCCTTACTATGGCGAAGATAATCTCCACGTTGGCAGTGGTAAGGGTTTATCCATTCTTCACATTGGCTCTTCCAAACTTTACTCACCAACTAAATCATTTGCTCTAAATCATATTCTTCATGTCCCTGATATTAAACGCAACCTTCTTTCTGTCCAAAAATTTTGCCTTGATAATCATGTTTATTTTGAGTTTCACTCTTCTTTTTTTGCTATCAAGGACTCAACTACTCACAATACCCTCCTCACGGGTCCAAGTAATGGCGGGCTTTACTCCATTTGTCTACCTCAGCTCCAATCTCTTCCAAAAGTTGCGTTTTCTGTTGTTCGTGCTTCGTCCCAGATTTTGCATCAACGACTAGGACACCCACATATTCAACTTTTACAATCTATGTTATCTAGATACAATTTACTTTTGTCAAATAAATGTTCTTCTTTTGTTTGTGACTCGTGCTTAGTTGGAAAATCATCTAAATTACATTTATCACCGTCTTCTTACAAGAGTTCTCATATTTTAGATCTTGTATTTTGTGATGTATGGGGACCAGCACCTACCGTTTCTAGTGATGGTCATAATTATTTTCTTCTTTGTGTTGATCACTACTCTATTTTTATGTGGTTATTTCCTTTGAAACTGAAATCCGATGTGTTTCCTACCTTTAAACGTTTCCTAGCCATGGTTGAACGCCAATTTCAAACTAAACTAAAATCCGTTCAAACTAATTGGGGTGGAGAGTTTCGGAATCTCTCTCAATTTTTTGCTCCTCTCGGCATCACTCATCGATTATCATGTCCTCACACAAGTGAACAAAACGGATTTGTTGAACGACGACATCGACGCGTCGTCTAAACTGGTTTGACCTTACTTGCCCAATCTCATGTACCACAACAGTTCTGGCATTTCGCTTTTGAAACAGCCGTATACCTTATAAATCGAATGCCCTCACGAACTACCAAAAATATTTCACCTTTTGAATACATTTTTCATCATAAACCCGACTTCTCGTTCCTACGGGTTTTTGGCTGTCAATGCTACTACCCCCACCTCCGTCCCTACAACAAACATAAAATGGATTTCCGATCCACTCCGTGTGTCTTTTTGGGCTACAGCCCCTCCCATCAGGGCTATCGATGCCTTGATCTCTCCTCAGACCGCATTTACATTGCCCGTCATGTCCGCTTTAATGAAACATTTTTTTCCTTTTTCCACATCCTTATCTCACCACTCTCCACCAAATGACCAACCACCATCCCCTGATCTGTATATCTCCTCCTATCCTAATCCAATAACACCACCTGAGCCACCTCAATTACCCACTACTCCTCACTTCACCACTTCTACATCCCCTACCACTAATCGACCTCCATTACTTCATACCTACAAACGTGGCACCTTCCCACGTCAACCGACTAAAAACACCACCCAAACATCACCCGAACCCACCACCACCATTCCAAATTCGATGGGTGATGATCATACCCTTGAGACCGATTCACAAAATACATTGGTTCCCTTACCTCAAGATCCTCCCATCCAATCTCCTCTTCCGCGTTCACGACCCCCTAATCTTCGTCCCAACCCAAAACCAACAAAGCCTTACCAACATTCCTCTTTTCACACCACTTCAGATTATTCTCGAACCGAACCTCCTAACTTTACCATTGCCAATTCATTGCTACAGTGGCGCTCAGCGATGTTCGAAGAATACTCTGCTTTAATGTGCAACGATACCTGGTCATTGGTACCCCGGAAACCGAATATTAATATTATTGATTGTAAATGGGTGTACAAATTGAAGAAAGATCAAACTAGTGTGATAAAACGGTACAAAGCGCGACTTGTTGCCAAGGGCTTCAAGCAACAACCAGGTGTTGATTATCAGGAGACATTTAGCCCAGTTTTTAAAGCCACGACCATTCGTGTTATTCTCTCCTTAGCCGTTTCACAAAAATGGCCGTTACGACAACTTGATGTGCAAAACGCCTTTTTACATAGGGATTTAAAAGAAATTGTGTATTTACAGCAGCCACCGGGTTTTGTTGACCCCACTAGACCAAAGCATGTTTGTCTTCTCTACAAGTCACTATATGGTCTCAAACAAGCTCCACGAGCCTGGTTTCATAGGCTCTCCACTGCTCTTCTTGCTCTTGGTTTTCGGGGTTCTCGCACCGACCCATCCTTATTTGTTTATTCCTCTTAAGGAATACTAATGTACATGTTGGTTTATGTTGATATTGTGCTCACAGGTAACAATTCCCACGCCATTAATCAGGTGGTGCACAACCTAAGCAACTCATTTGCTATACAAGATTTGGGTGTTTTGTCCTATTTTCTAGGTGTCGAGATACACTATCAAACGGATTCCATCCTTCTATCCCAACGAAAGTACATACTTGATCTGCTTCAAAGAGCTGGCCTCTCTTCCTCCAAACCAGTACCTTCACCCATGACATACTTGATCTGCTTCAAAGAGCTGGCCTCTCTTCCTCCACTGCCATATTGCCGACATATTGTAGAAAAACAAGCAATCTAAACGAACACTATCCAAATCAATGGAGTTGTTTGCCAAAACCTGAGACACAAATTTTTCGAAACTATTCTTTTTGAATTCTGTAACAGACTTCCATCCACGGTTGTAATCGATGTCTATAGAGGGAACTGAAGTCCATAGATGCCTCCATCGTGTCGACAAGATGCTGGTTCGAATAACTTCTTCTGTGGTTGGAAGACGTGAAAGAATCAAATGAAGAATAGGATCTGTTGAGTATGAATCCACAGAAATGTTGAGTGTGAATCCACAGAAATGTTGAGTGTGAATCCACAGAAAAGCTGGTCAAAAATGGCAGGAACAATGTGAAGTTGTGAAGCCACAATTGTTGAATGAAGACCCAGTTGTGTTTTTTGACTACTTCTGATTTCCATCTCTATATAAGAGATTATTCTGTATTTGTAAAACTTGTATCTAGTGTAACACAGAAAGAGTGCAGATTAGCACCAAGAAATGTAAATTCCTAGTTACCGGTGGACGTAGGTCAGAGAAGGACCGAACCACGTTAAATCCCTCATGTTCATCCTTGTGTTCTTGTTTTTCGTGAGCTGTGTGTGTGTTTAGAGTCGTGTGTTAAGTGTCTCGATCCTAACAAGTGGTATCAGAGCCTTGGTTTAGCTCCAGATGGTGATTTTCTGTTTTTTGGTCGAAATTTTTTTTTCGTCAAAAACGATTTTGGTGTATACCGTTGGAAAGGTCTCGTTCCGAAGATTCCGAAAATATTTTTTTCTGAATTTTTTGACCACCGGAAGACGTCCAAATCGCCGGTCAAAGGTTTGCCGGAATATTGACCGGGAAAACTAGTTCGCCGGAGAAGACGACACTGTAGCACCAGACACTGTAGCAGTCCGCCGGAGAAGACGACACTGTAGCAGGACTGTAGCACGACGTCAGCAGTGATGTCAGCAGACACTGTAGCAGACACTGTAGCAGATTTGAAAAATTGCAGTTTAGCCCCTGAACTTTCAGAAAATTGCAGTTTAGCCCCTGAACTTTCAGAAAATTGCAGTTTAGCCCCTAATCTTTCAGAAAATGGCAGAAAGCAGTAAGCTTCAGATTGAGAAGTTTGATGGGAAAGATTTTGGTTGGTGGAAGATGCAAATTGAAGATTTGCTCGTACAGAAAGACTTGGACGCAGTTTTAGGTGAAAAACCGGAGGCGATGACACAGGCAAACTGGGAGACTTTGGATAAGAAGGCCAAGGCATTTATTAGACTGACGTTGTCAAAGGATGTTGCCTTCAACATTTTGAAGGAGACCTCGGCAAAGGGAATCATGGAGGCATTGTCTAATATGTACGAGAAGCCGTCGGCAGCAAATAAAGTCTTCCTGATTCGGGAACTAGTCAACACGAGGATGAGGGAAGGAAGTTCAGTTACAGTACACATCAACAATTTGAACTCGATTTTATCCAGACTTGGGTCAGTGGGAATAAAATTTGAGGACGAAGTTCAAGCTTTACTACTGTTATCATCATTACCTGACAGTTGGTCCGGAACAGTTACAACCGTTACTAGTTCCGCAGGATCGAAAGAGCTCACTTTTGAGGGAATTCGGGATTTAATTCTAGGCGAAGACGTCAGACGAAGAAATTCCGGGGAATCATCAAGTGAACAATTGAATGCGGTCAGAGGTAGAAGAAATAACAGAGGTAGTGGGAGCGGGAACAGGAGAAGGAGTCAGTCAAGGACTCGAAATGATGTGACTTGTTAGAACTGTAAAGAGGTTGGACATTTCAGGAATCAATGTCCAAAAGACAAGAAAGAAGTTAACGTTGCAGTAGACCATTCAGATGATGATGTTTTGATCTGTAGTGTGGAGAGCAATGTGGATTCCTGGGTTATGGATTCGGGTGCTTCATTTCACGCTACCCACAGCCGTGAAGCACTGCGGAATCTGAAAGAAGGAGATTTTGGTAAGGTAAGACTGGCGAACGATGAGGTTTTTGATGTGACGAGCATAGGTGACTTAGATCTGAAGACTCCAGTCGGTCCATGGACTTTGAAGGATGTCCGGGTAATTCCAAGTCTGAAGAAACAGTTGATTTCTGTTGGGCAGTTGGATGAACAGGGACACGAGGTTAAGTTCAGGAATGGGCAGTGGAAGGTTGTCAAAAGAAATCTTGTGATAGCTCGTGGACATAAGAGGGGTTCATTATATATGGTCAGTTTACCGTCTGAGGGAGTAACCGTCCCAGTTCAGAAGAAAAACAAAATCCGGTTCATAGAGTCTCGTGGACAGAAGAAGATTTGCTTTGCAGATGGCAAACCCAGAGTCACAGGTCAGATTCAGGTTGAACGTGTTTGGAACGGTTAAAAAAAAAACCAGTCAAGGGCATTCATAGCAGTGGGAGCATGGGCTTTGTTTCAGCTAGAATACCCAGAACACAGTGGGTTAAGAGAACCAGTATTCCATCTGTAATAGTCTCTCCAGATTATCTGCTTCACATGGAGAGTGTCGTTTGTTCTCAGGATGTTCCAGGATCGGGCAGTTCATTTCAGTGGGAGCCGGTGGAGACAGAGAACAGGTCAGTGGCAGACTTAGCCATGACTGATTCGTTGGAGCTAAAGAAAGCTTCAACTGGCCTTCAGGTTAATTGAAGAGAAGGCCAGGGTAACTAGGAAGGAGTTAAGATCAAATACAGATGCACAGTTGAAGCACAGGTGAAGATTGTTCCGTGGCTTCAAGTGGGAGATTGTTGAGTATGAATCCACAGAAATGTTGAGTGTGAATCCACAGAAATGTTGAGTATGAATCCACAGAAAAGCTGGTCAAAAATGGCAGGAACAATGTGAAGTTGTGAAGCCACAATTGTTGAATGAAGACCCAGTTGTGTTTTTTGACTACTTCTGATTTCCATCTCTATATAAGAGATTATTCTGTATTTGTAAAACTTGTATCTAGTGTAACACAGAAAGAGTGCAGATTAGCACCAAGAAATGTAAATTCCTAGTTACCGGTGGACGTAGGTCAGAGAAGGACCGAACCACGTTAAATCCCTCATGTTCATCCTTGTGTTCTTGTTTTTCGTGAGCTGTGTGTGTGTTTAGAGTCGTGTGTTAAGTGTCTCGATCCTAACAGGATCTGGCAAGTTACTGATCATATCTACCTCTAACACCTTTCCTTCCTTGGATTTCTTCATGTGTCTGTTAATTTGGATTAAAAACTATTAGAGATTTAAACAGACAATTTTTGAATAATACTGATAAAAACGAATGAGCAAAAACAATAAACAATTTTCCTTATTAGCAAAGTTTAGCAAGGATTTGATAATGCGGAATAACACCCAAATCACTAAGATCTAATGAGAATCAACAATAATAAGTAAAGAAATTAAGATTACAGACACACATTCTGAGGTTTTACTTTAAAAAAAAAAACAGGCAGAGGAGACTACTGAGATATCCACTAGTGATGATACCGTTTAAAATGCAAAGAAATGAGAAAATTACAAATATGCGGGATACATGTGGAACAAATAAGAGAGACAAATGAAAGGGGGTATTTCTAGGGTTTTAGAAATAAAGCTCACACCCTCACTCATCTCAGAAAAAAACATAAAAAATGTATTTTGGTTAAGCACTTTAGCTAGGGCTCATGAGCCTGAAACGAAACCGCAAGGATCATAAGTCTGAAATCTTAGGTTATTAGTCACCATTCTGTAACAAATAGCAAGACCTAACAGTATCTTCGCGCCAAATGTGAAGTCGCTATATACGAAGTGAGGTGATTCACACAAAAAAAAAAATTAAGCTCACAAACTAGACAAAGATGTTCATAGATGTAGAGCATACTACATGAAATAGTGATATATGTTATATTCCATCAAATACCCATCATATCGTATATTCTTATTCGAACAGAACTAGAAATTATCCAGGTACAACCTTTCTTTCGTAATGATGATAGTGATGATGTTACACGCCGGAATCGGGTGAGATGAGACTGATGATAGCGTTGGCGTCACAATGGCCGAAAAGAAGAAGACCGGCATTCGTGGCGCCAATTGGCAAACAGGAATTTAGAGAGACAATATGGCCCGACCCACTCTTTTTTTGGTGCGTGATATAAAAATACAAATAACCATTTACGTGTTCAAAACTCCAAAACTCGAATTTACATATTTCATCGTCCAAATATTTTTTATTTTATTTTGCATTTGATTCGTTAAACGATATCTTTAACTAAACGTCTCAACCTATGAAGAACATCTCCCCTATAAAACAGGTCAGGTTAAATTTGAGCCATCAACACTTTTTCACGAGCTTTATAAATAATTAAGGGTGTTGTTGCAGAAACTCCATTCTACTCTAGTAAACTCTATCTAACTTTAACTTTATTATTTTACATTTCTCAGTCATTACACTAACTTTATTATTTCATTATTACACATTTCAATAGTTTCATTTATTCCTACCTCATTTTCACTTATCTCTACCCTCTAATTATTTTTCCAATCATTATTTTTACTAATCATTTTACTTTTTTTTACTAATCATTATTACTTTTAATTATTTTAATAATTAAATTATGATTACATAGTTATTATTAATAGTTTTTTTTATACTCAACGCTATGGCGACAAAGAAAGCTCCGGATGTAACAACTATGTTTGTTACCAATCTGCCTCATGGATCTAGAAAGGAGACCGTAAAGAAGCTCTTCTCAAGACATGGAATCGTCTCTGATGTGTACATGGCGACAAAGAAAGATTCAAGCAAAAAAAAAATTGCTTTGGTCAGATTCAAAGGGGCGAAGGATGAGATGCAATTGGAAATGTCTCTGCAAGGATTAAAATGTATGGGTGCAATACTGGAGATCAACGTGGCAAATTTTGAAAGGAAAGCCGCCTCGACGAGAACCAGGCCGGATCGAGCCTCGAAACGAACATGAGAAAATTGCACCACAATGCTATGGGATCATTCCGGGACGGCAGATCCTTTGCTGCAGTTCTATCTGGGCGTGAAGGTCCACCTCCGCCTCCTCCTCCTCCTCCAGAGTTAACTAGAAAACCTATCTCCCTTGAGGTTGATACGTTTTGGGCTCATTGGATTGATAGTCCACTTACTTTAATTGGTGTCGTACACAGCCTAGAACATCTAAAGAACTTACCAACAGGGATAAGGCTGGGACATTCCTCTGCTTATGGAATGAAATACTTAGGAGGCCTATCGGTTGGGATTCGGTTCAGGAGTGAAGGTGACGTTGACGAATTCCTTAAGAATGAGAACTACTGGAGGGAATGGTTCATCGAAACTAAACGGGGGAACTCCTATGATGCGTTGCCGGGAAGAATTGCTTGGCTGAAGATAATTGGTCTACCACTACATATGTGGAGTGAAGGAAATTTTGAACGAATTGAACGAATTGCAGGGACGGTCGGGAAGGTGCTAAGTCCATCCGAAATTTCAATGCGTCTGCAAGATGTGTCGTGTGGTAAGATTTGTGTCCTTACAAAAAGGAAGATAAGAATCAATGAAGAGGTTGCAGTGGAATTTAATAAAAATATAATAAAGGTGGGGATCTCTGAAGTTGACTTCGAATGGTCTCCTTTTCCATCATGCAATTGGTCGATGGATGATTATGACGGGCACGATAGATCCGGTGATTTGGAGAATTTAGAGAAGAATGAAGATTCAAACTCGGAGGATAAGGATGAAGGTATTTCAGAAACTATTATTTCATCAGGATGGAAACCTATTAATGGAGGTTTACCTGAGGATGAGTTGGAAGAAGGAGAATTCCGACATGGTGAATTCACCGAAGACGAAGTGATGGAGGCGATGGATGTAAGACGTGAGCCTTCGCCGGAAATCAGAACTTGGGTGGGGGAAACGCCGATCTGTGAAGCTAGACCGTCGGGAGGAGATCCAACTCATGGGGAATTCCAACCGACTCCAACGGATAAATGCCAACGGGTGGATAGAGGTGATGACCAACTGGTTGACCACTCAAACGTCGTTGCTACCCAGGTGGTAAATAACGTGAATATCGGTATGCTAAACCCGGATCTATTAAAACTTGGATGTTTTGGGCCATTCAAATGTGGGCCTGTTAATATGGGTGGTAGGAAACTGCCAAAATCGTTTGGGCCCCTAAATGAAAATAAAGATGATTCGGAGCTGGAGATTGATTCGATAGATGATGGATCTACTAGAAAGAAGCTGCGACGCTCTTCCCTCTCACGTCTAGACTTAAATTGCAACCCCTGCAACTCTTCTGACTCTACTCACGATTTAAATATTGGCGATGATGAAACAATCTCGCACCGCTCGTTTCAATCTTCGGGTCAGATTAAATCTACTGTTCGTCTTGTTGATAACTCCGAGGCTACCCTAACAGTAGAAATTGGTAAAATGGTTGATGTGGACATTGAATTTGGGAACGAAGTATTGGAGGAGGTATTGGGTATGGAAGGAGAGAGCAATAACCACAATGAATGTGCTCTCTTTGAACGTTAGAGGAATTGGCGATGCCCCAAAACAAAGGTGGGTCAGGAGATTATGCACAGAGCAAAAGATCTCGGTGATGTGTTTACAAGAATCTCAACTAGGTTTGGCCTCTTCGCTATAATTAAATATTCGAAATTGCTGGACCGATGGCAACTTTGGTTTTGAATTAATTGAAGCAACTGGGAGATTTGGAGGGCTGATCACAATATGGGAAGATGGAGCATTCAGGCTTACAGACACAATAAAATCACGGTACTTCCTGATTGTATTTGGTCGTTGGGTGGGCATAAACATTGACATAGCTATCGTTAATGTTTATGCGCCTCATTCCCCTGTTGAAAAGAGAAGATTATGGCAAAAATTAGCTCAAATAATATCTAGTAGATCGGCGTTACGGATCCTTGCTGGGGACTTTAACACTGTTCGTAGGCGTGAGGAGAGGATAAATTCTAGATTTTGTAATGTGTCTGCTGCTGATTTCAACGAATTTATTCTCTCATGTGATCTTCACGATTTAAGAATGGGGGGATATAAGTTCACTTTTTTCAGACCTGAAGATGGTGGTAAGATGAGCAAACGCGGCCAATACATAGTTTGTCATATATAAGTATATTTTTAATAAATATTATTATAAATAAAAAACAATTATAAATAATTAATCAACGTTGCAATTAAATTGTCAAACAATAAATCTAAAAGAATATTAATTATTATACATATTTAACCATTAAAACTAGAACGATAATAATTATTATACATATTTAGCCGTTAAAACTAGAACGATAATAATGATTATATATATTTAGCCGTTCGATATACGGGGTGACCCATTCAGCTGCACATGGACGTTTGCAGTGAGTCCATTGTGGGGCAATAGGAGACATCGGGTACTCTCCTTCTAGCTCTAGCTTGACATAATGATTACCATAGACGAGGCGAATTGCAATAACAATGCGTTTTATGAGTTGGTTGTATTCTTTGAAATTGCAATAACAATTGCAATAACAATGATGAATTATTTTTTGAAATTTGTAAAAGTTATAAACGAAGTGATGTTTTATTCTTTGAAATTGCAAGTTGTAAAAAAAGTGATGAATTGTTTTTTGAAATTTGTAAAAATTATAAACGAAGTGATGTTTTATTCCTTCAATTTACAAGTTGTAAAAAAAATGATGAATTATTTTTTGAATATTATAAAAATTATATATGAAGTGATATGTTATTCTTTTAAGTTGCAAGTTATAAAAAGTAATGAATTATTTTTCGAAATGTGTAAAAGTTATATGGAAAAAGTATGTATGTTTGTAGTTTTAAAATTTTCAAGTTGTAAAAAATAATAAATTATTATACAAAAATAAATGTATAAAAACTAATTTATAATAACGTTCAAATAAATACAATAAATTAATAGGGCTATATAAAATTTAAGTTATTGTTGTGTTATAAAAGAATAATGAAAATATTGTTAATAATTATAAATAAGTTGAAAAACTCCTAAAGTAAAGGGAGCATGAATGTAAAATAGAGAGTTTGTATGTAAAAGAAAAAAAACAGCGGCAGTTTTATGGAGGGGATCCATTGTTTAGATATCAGGTAAATGGCAGAGCACATTTTTCAATGTGTTGAAAATAGTAACTTTCACTCATTGGTAAAAAAAACGAAAAAGCTGTCGGTGCCACCAATAAAATAATGATGAAGGGCGTAGGTATATAAAATCGGGGTATGTATACCAGTTCCCATTTGTAAGACCATATTCAAATCATATTTTTTTTTCTGCACACCTATCTAATTTTAGCCCTAAAATTCTTTAAAATCTAGAATTTTGACTAATTCTTATGAGTCTGCTGTTTTTTTTTAATCTCATTTTTTTTTCTTGTCAAACTGTTTACCCACTTTTTTTAATAGTATAATTCTCTTTTGTTTTTTTTTTATATCGCTGCTACTTTTATTTGTAATGTCCTTTTATAACTAGTTTTTATATATTAACCATGCTATACTTTATAACATATTTTAACTACACATAGTTAATTATATATATATATATATATATATATATATATATATATATATATATATATAATTTTTTCTCATTTTAAACTTAAGGCTAAAATTAAAAATAATAATAATAACTTATTCAGTTGCTCGGTCGTTAGACTTTTACATAAGTTAATCAGAATACGTAAACAAATAATATTAAACAGTGGTTCGACAAGGGGGCAACTCGGTAGCTGAGGGTGGTCCAACGACTACAATTTGGTGGTTTCGGTGGTCTGGAGAAACGACGGCGGCATATAATTTCAAATCTTTAATTTATGTGTGCATAACTATTTGATGTACCCAATGCCTCCTATCATTATCGCCCTTAATTTTTTAATCAACTTTTAATTATAAATAAATTACAAAATCGTAAAATAAACCCATAATTTTTTTTTTTTGAGTATTTTCATTAAATCAAATAATACACTACTAAGTACTTTAAAGAAAACTATGATTTTATAGAACTTTTTATTTTTACTTTTCGTAATAATATTTAAATTTTAATTATTATTTTGTTTTTATGTGTTTCTTAACTTAAAAAAATGAAAACAAGACAAAAAAAAAACAACGAAATTGAAAAATAAAGTAACTTTTTTTTCATTAAGTCGTAAAACCATTTTGTAACTTAAAGTATTAATGCATTTAATGATGTATATCATAGTTTAAAAAGTATAATAATTTTATATTTTTGTTCTATTTAACTTATTTATGAAAAAATAAGTTTGAAATTAAATATTTAAATAACCAAAAAGTAATATAATAAATTAGTTGGTAATAAAAATGTAATTGCTAAATAATATAATTAATAATAATTAAACAATAATAAAGTAAGAACAATTATTATTAAGAACAATAAAAATGTGTCTTTAGTAGGACCCTCAAATTTTTACTAAGCTTATTATTTTCTAAATTTTCTTTAAACATTTTTTTACAATAAATGATTATAAATACCAAAATTTAGAAAAAACATTAAAAAGTAAACATGTCTTCGTGATACAATCACGGGCTTTGATTTCAGCGGTTTCACTAATAAGGACATCGCCCATCCAAAAGCCCATAATTCATTGGTGAGTGTCATTTTTAGTAAAATTGTCCAAGACACGGAAGTTCATTTCGACATGACGATTTGGCAGAAAGCAATTTTTGAGTGTCTAAGGGTCCCACATGCTCAGGATTTCCTTATTACTATTCCTATTGACAGTCTTGGCCAACATATGTCGTCAGTGGAGTATCATGTCATCCTCAAGTATCGTCTTATGATCCCCTTATTTCCGGCTGACGAGACTTGTCCTGTTTGTCGTAAGGCATGTTTGGACTCTTTTGGGGAGCATGCAGTTCATTGTAAATAGCTCTCGGGTTTCAAGTACCAACACGATCTGGTTAGGGATGTTCTTTTCGACATATTTAGGCGCGCTGGGGTTTCCGCCAAGAAAGAGGCATCTGTTAGTTTTTTGAGTGACCCATTGGAAGGAAGATCAGCACTTAGAACAACTAATGTTTTAGTATTTGGATGGGTTGGAGAAAAACATGCATGCATGGATCTAACAGAGGTTTCCCCTCTTGTGGGTCTGGGGAGTGGGGTTTCACTGTGGGGCAAACTGCTTTAAAAGTTGCATCAAGCGAAGTGGCAATACATAAGAAAGTGTGCATTGAACATCAACACACATTTATACCCTTTGCATTTGATACTTTCGGTTTCCTTGCGCCAGAAACTATGGAGCTACTCAATAGAGTCCAACGGGTCATGCATAGTAATGTTATGACTCAAAGATCTATAGATGTTGTTTTTAAAAGAATTAGTTTTGTCATCCAAAAAAGGATTGCGGCACAGCTTGTTGTTCGTTTACCCGTTGCGTAGTAAAACTTTTTCTTATGTTTTATAAAATTTGAATAAGAAAGGGAAAAAAAGTTATTGGAAGCATTGTATTTGACCCAAAGAGCTTTGTCGGCAACTAGGTGGTTGTTTTGTACGAGAAGCCTAAAATAATAATAATAATTAATTAATCTAAGTCAAAATAGAATGGAGTGTTATAGGGTGGACTGTATAAATAAATAGCCATTAATTAAATGTCACTATAAAACTATTGTTAAACAATGATCCGTTCTAGGAGGCTATAAACACTTGATTTTGTCATGAGTGATGTTTTGACGAGTTAGAAGAGGTTCCTTTTTTATTATAACATTTCTAAATTTTACAAGCTTGGCACGGTAACAATAAAAATAAAATTCAAATTTATCATTTGTTTATAATGGTTGAAAATAAGATTGTCAATATTGAGATCTTATAAGATTATTTTCACTTTCCAAGATCGTTATCATAAATCAGAATGAGATAAGAGAATCCTATAAAAATGAAATAGTAATAAGTTACAATCTTGAAACATACATCTCCCTTTGTTTACAAGTTATATAAAATTTAAAATATTAGTGATATTCTTAAAGTCAATACATAAATTTCAAATCTAAGATAGCAATGTCATTTTTTTCTAAATTAATTGCATTCTTTTAATTTTTAAATGAATGAAGTAAAAAAATTGCCGTTAAGACTTCTTACTTCAATATACTAAAAAGTCTATAGATTTCAAGATGAGTGGGCAAAACGGTGAGGCATATGATATGTGGTGCTCAACTATGAGTTGAAGGGGGTCGATTTTGAGGGGCACAGACAAAATTTAGGCTCTGCGAAGGATTTTTTAACCAATATGTGAGATCAATATTTATACGTTAGAAAAGACTTTAGAGTTCACACTTACTAAAGACCATTTTAAAGAGAATGGATGGGATTTGATCGTTTACGAACTTAAAATCCTACATGTAATCCTATGATATGGGGTTTGATCTTACGACCTTAAAATCCTATATTTAATCGCACCAAAGTGTCTTAAATTTTTGGACCCGTAGTTCATACATACCATAACCATGTTCATAGAAATATAGCAAGGTCAAATAGACACATTGGTATGGGTCGGTCG